TTTTTTTTTTTTTTTACAAGCGAGGGCCATCCTAACAAGCCTGTTTAAAGAGGTTTTACTATATTTATGAGGCCATTTTCAGACATCTAGCCCCCACAAGTAGTGAAACCATTTGTTTTACCGTGTCCTATGTTTCCCAACATTTGAAACACTTCAAATTTCCCAAACCCCCATACACAAATATGCTACCTTATCATACTTGGCTGGAAAAAAAAAAAAAACTTGCAGAGAGTTAACTTTTAGGGACTAGAGATTGGATATTAGCGCTGTTTTCCTTATATAGCAGAATGACTTAAACATACACTCACTTTTATGTGTTACAGGAACAAATGAAAAAGATGAGTGCTCACGGGATTTTATTAACTCTTAATTTTGGACCTGTTGCTCGGCACTTGTTCAGTGCAAAGACAGTCAAAGGAGGGTCATGGGGGTCAGATCATCGGGGTCATCATGTCGCCATGGAGCGCACCACACATCTAAAAAAAAAGCAGACGAACACAACACACACAGACACAATTTAGCCTATCTAACAGAGTATCTACTGTTCACTTGCTCAAATTGCTAATATAAATCATAGGTAGGACCACTCGCTGCACAATACTGAATAGGACTTTTACAATTACTATGCCTTTATAAGGAAATTAAAAGGTTAAGAAAGAGTTTAATTAAACACAGTGCCTGTCAATTACTTCAGAGGTCATTGCGTCTGTACTTGCCTTCTAGATGAAAAACTGAAAATCAACATTGATAAATCATAATAAAACTAATCTGGCTATAGATTTACTGTTTGGAAGATGTGGATTTGGACTAACTGAAACTACACTGCTATAAAATCTATAAAACCTCATTAGCTTTAAATCCATTAAAACATAATAAGTATCTCAGTACAGAGCAGCAAATTACATATAATCTAAAACAGGATTTAGGAACACGTAAAAACCCACTTTAATCTCTCACACAATCATGCACACATTTACTAAGCTAGCTCTATGTTTCTCTCATTTCTTTGACCGCTGCAGTACTGAGAGTTAACAAAGCTCCATACCATTGTCATGCCTGTATGAGTGAGTGAGTGTGTGTCTAGGGGCAGATATATTTTTGTGCTCTCTGCTAAATCCATCTGCAGACTGAAAACAACATTCCATTGCACAACATCTGAGATTAATGAGAGAGAGACAGACACAAAGAGAGACAGGAAGCAAGAGAGGGACAGACAGTGTTCTCAGGAGGATGCAGCAGCTTGTGCGTTAATGAAGCTCTTTATGGCTTTCAGACAGAGAAACATCTCTCCACCCTTCATTTCCCTCCTCAGAGTTCATGTCACTTCTCCTCTTTTCCTCCACTGTTCTTTTTTTTCAGAATTTGATGACTTTGATGACAGAACCTTGCTGCATACTGAACACACTGGATCTTTGATCATTCTGATCAGTTTTCTGGTTCTGACGCTCCTTAATGCTTTCAGTCTTTTTTATGTGTCAGCTACTTGAACCACCAACTGTTACTGTACCCAAAAAGTTATCAGAAAAGGCAGAGCTGGACATTGTGTGCATAATCACACCAGATGTCCTCAGCACAAAATCAAACAGGCAGCGAACAGGCAGATGTGATGTTTTTTAGAGATGTGTCTCGGGACAGTGCCAGGAAATGTGGCACAGCTGTTTAACTAGGGAACATGGTGTCACATTCGCTAGGAAAATTACAAAATCAGTGGGGTTTATTCATATAATGCTCCCCCTGGCAGCAGACAAAGGTGGTTACAAGGTACGATTTTAAGAACCTTAAGGCTCCTGCTTCTGTAGGCCAGAGCTTGGAATATTTTAGAAATTATACCAGCAGTCGGTACTCTTAAAGATCTGGGCTGGTAAACTGAAAAGCTGTTCAAATACCACAAGGATTGACTGATAATGAATAAAATGACACATTTTGACAAATATAGGAAAAAACTGTGTAATGAGTCCCAGTCTCAGTACGTTCAGAATTTGTTGTTCTCTGGCTCCCTCACTGAGTCTCTCTCATGTTTCACATACCTGAGTGATGACATCACTCCAACTTCTCAGATCTAAACTCCACCCTCTCTCTCAATCTCACGGAGCTGCCAATGTGTGTGACGGCTCAGTTACTGAAAAGTTCAGTGTATACAGCCAATATTGATCTATAGGAACTATAACTGTAACAGTTACGGCAGAGTAGGTATAGAGTTACAGATTAGAGTTATAGCATATTGATTAGGCCTACATATAAAATTACAACAGTAACTAGAGCAGGTGTAGGGCAAATAGTAACAGAAGCTAGAGCAAGTGTAGAGTTACAGCAGATAGAGAAGGTATACAATCAGGGATGTTCATTTTAACCGGTTAACCATTAACCGACCGTAAGAATTTTTGACCGACTAATACAATCAGTTAAACGGTCATTTATTTATTTATTTTTTTCAGTAATTGATCAAAATATTTAATAAGGTTTGCTGTAGGGCTGTCAAAATGACTTAAAAACTAAATTCGAATTTTCTACTTAAATATGATCAAAATTCGAATTATATTCAAATTTAAAAGGCATACTTTCAGTTAGGGGGAAAAAAGCTTTTGGCTTCTCTCCTGAGGCCACAAGAGGGTGCATCGAGCAAAATATTATGCACGTTTCTTCAAAGCGTAATAAAATAACACCACTATCTTTGAAAAAAAATGCACAATATTTCAAATAATGTTTATAAACCATATATAATTAATAAAGTTGCTTAAACAATTAGAAAAAAAACAGCACCATGCATGTATGTATGTATAGTTTAATACAAAGGACCAAAAACCAATCACAAAGAGTAGGCTACCTTTCTTCATTTAAAAACATGAGATACAGTGGGATGGGGAAAAACCGCCATAACGTCTTTAGAAATGTTTTTTAAAAGTTGAACTTGCATTAATTTTACATAGGCTGTCTAAACATCCCGCTCTCTGCGAGACGCGAGTGCAACGCTGATATAGATGTTCCTCTAGAAAAAGTGATAAATATGCATTCTGTGTGAATGGCTTGGTTTCAGTTTTGACGTAAACAACATCTTCTCCACACTGATGCTCTCGTTTTCCGCAATATATGAAAGAACAACGTAGCAGTGCCGCATCTAGTGGGTAGCCTAACTGGATAGGCTAACAAAAGCATTCAAATGCAATCAATGACACATACATCGTCATCGCATCTCATGCGCCACTGATAAGGCTGCCTGACGGCTGACGCAGACCTTAAATGTGGATTTTTTTTATTGAATATTCGAAATTAGATTTTTTTTTTGACAGCCCTAGTTTGCTGCATGGTTAAAATACGCTACGCGTATATAAAAAAATTTGTTTTTTAGAGAGAGAAAAAACGCAAGTCGCTATAAGTCGCATTTTATTATTTAATTCAGAATGCCAACGCGAAATGTTCACAAACATTATAATAAACACTGTAAACATAGCTAGGCTATTTTAGTTCCCCTCACTCCACAACAAATCTTTTCAATTAACAGTATTTTGAAAAGAACAAGAATTTTAAATATAAGAAGCTATAAACGACAAGCCAAAACGAATTCATTTAGGCTAAAACGAAACTGAAACCAACGTTGGGTCTCTCACTCGACATATAATCAAATGTTTCCATATTCGCGATGTATTTGAATGCCAAAATATTATTTATTATGTAGCCTAGGCTACTTCACTGGCATTCCAATATCCACGTAAAACAAAATGTTTTGCATAACATCGCGGCGATACGATGATAACGCTTAACGGCACAGATTTTACTACATTTAAACTGAGCAGTGTGTTTTTTTCCATATGTTTGACTGACTGTATTTTATTAAGATAAAGAACAAGCTGCATTGTCAATTGGTAGCAATGCTTAACTATGTGCGCGCATGTGGCGCCGGCGCAATCACTTGAATTTTTTCCTTCTAACAGTGGAAACAACTACTCCTTTTAGTCATAAAGATAATCGGAATTGTAAAAGGTTTGCCTTTATTTGTGTACATTCACAATAAAAACAAATCTTTGTGCTTTTGTAAAATAAGCCTAAAGAAAAATAGGATGCCGCTTTCTGCCGTCTGGTTTCCTTTCGCGCACCACAAAAATGAACCGAAACTCTGCAAACTGCAAAAACAGTTTTTCTTTCGTTTTCTTAATTTATTAAGTAAAAATATATTTCTCATATAGGCCTATTTATTATTATTATTATATTATTATTATTTATATATATATATATATATAGCCTAGCTTTATTATGTTTCTCTCTGCTCACAGAAGTGCTGCAGGTGCGTGATGTGATGCATGTGAATCCTCTTGTTCTGTTGTTTGCTGCATTTTTCGGATGTAAAATTAATCCCCGGGAAACAAATGTTAGTATTTTTAACGGGTCACAGACACTTATCCTTTCTAATTTAATTCAATTCTAATTTAAAATAATCTTGTCGGTTAACGGTTAATAATCGGTTAACGAGCGTCGGTTGTCGGTTAGGAAAAATAACCGAAATGAACATCCCTATATACAATTACAGCAGATTTTGTATGTATAGAATCACAGCAGCTAAAGCAGGTAGAGTAGATTCAGCAGATCTGAGTAAATACAGATTTATAGCAGCTAGAGTGGTTATAACTTCACAGCAGTAACTAGACCAGATATAGAGTTACAGAAGATTGAGCAGGTACAGAGTAACAGAAGCTAGAGCAAATGTAGAGTTACAGCGGATTTAGTAGGTATGAAATTACAATAAATAGAGCTGATATATATTTAAAGTAATTACAGTAATTATGCTACAGGTTTACAGCAGCTAGAGCGGTTATAAAGTTACAGCAGTAACTAGAGCATGTATAGAGTAACAAGCTAGAGCAACAGCAGAATGAGTATATATAAAATAACAGTAGACAGAGCTGATATAGAGTTAAAGTAGCAGTACAGGTAGTACAGGTAGATATGTTACAGCAGATTACATACATTTACAGCAGCTAGAGCATTTGTAGTGTTACAGCAGTAACTAGAGCAGTTAGAGGGTTACAGAAGACCGAGCAGATACAGAGTATCAGAAGCTAGAGCAAATGGAGTTACAGAATATTGAGTATAAAATTATAGTAATTAGAGGTGATATAGTGTTACAGTAGCTAGAGTAGACATAGGTGTTACAGCAGATGGAGCAGATGCAGATTTACAGCAGCTACAGCGGTAGAGCAGATATAGAGTAATAGAACCTAGAGAAAATGTATAGTTACAACAGACAGTTACAATTAGCAAAACAGCAGCTAGAACAGGTAAAGAGTTACAGCGACAAGAGCAGGTGTAGAGTTAAAGCAGATGGAGTTGGGAAGTTTTAGAGTATTTTGCACTAGTGTTCCCAAAAAAAAAAAAAAAACTGTGTTGAGAAAAAGCTTTTTTTTCCTCAAATCTACAGGAAGAAAAACCATGTGCCTTGGCAAAAATGCACATTCATATTCACTTACACACAACCAATTACATCAACAGATCTAGAACGAAAACCAAACAACTAATTATTTTTGATCCACCACCAATACAGCAGTGTTGCTTGTGAACAACAGGATGCATGTTCACTGTGCTAGCATAAGACTGATTGGAAACGACTCAACACCACTGGCAGGTCTTGCTGGGTTACCATGACAACCTAAAAGCTCATG